TCTTTCCCTGTTCTACCTAGCTCAGGAAAAATTAATTTCTTTCTTTCTTCCTTTTTCTTTTTTTCTTTATTTTGGTCTGGACCACTCCAGTAGTCTAAAATCTGAGCTCATTCCTCTTTTAACCTCACCTACTCACCACCTCCAAAGTCACTTTTGTGAAACACAAATTAGATCAAATCATTTCTTCTGCGTGGTTTCTCCTCCTCAACAGGGTATAATCACAACCCAGGTGAACTGAACCACCCCCGTCCCCCTTCAAACTCTCCTGCCAAATTCTCACTTCAGGACACCTAGACATTCTTTGAACATGGAACGCCTAGTCCCCTCTATGGAGGACTCCCAGTGCCTACTGGGATCCAGTCCATATATGAAGTTCTCTGCAGCCTCTTCCAGATTCTCTCTACCCTCCTTTCCCTGGGCTCCCACTGAATTTGTTCCTATTTCCATTAAACACTCACCACGCTGATCACTATTTATTTTCTTATCCTTTTCTGCTAAATCGATTTCTGAAAGGCATGGACCTCATTCATTTCGTCTTTGGCACAGGGCCTACACAGCACATAGTAGATAACTGTTGATAAACTGAGGGCATGGTACAGAAATTACAAAAAATGAGACCACAGCAACTATCAAAGTTGGTCTCAACAAAACTAGTTTCTGCAATATATATGACTAGTTGCAAATGATTATTCAAGTGTTTTTTAAAAGAGTTCGATATCTACTTGCAAATGACAGAGCTCTCAAGTTCCCACTAATGCCTATTAAATGTTCATCATTAGAGAGAGAGCCACATCCTTCCAAATTTAGTTGGGTTCTGCAGGACCCGCACACACATGCCATTTTGAAAGCTCTCAGAATCCTGTAGCTCGAGTTGAGGACATTTTTCTCTCACAAAATTCTATGGGCTGGACTCAACTAGCAAATAAGATTGCAACTGCTTCGAAAGCAAATTGCAATTCACATTTTAGACAAATTCAACTCAATGACTGATCATACTTAAGATAATAGCTCTAAGGCTAAAGAAAATCAATGCATAGACTGAAAAGCAGCCAAATGTTCACCGTCCTGCCTTGTTCTACAGTCAACACTGACCTGCTTCTTGATCCTTTCCAGCTCCTAGGTTTTTCCAACTTTGTTGTGTCCCCAAAATGGAGGGTGGGAAGTGTTAGCAAGTGTCGCCCTGTGCCTGTGATGCATTTGTCCTGTGTTTTATAGTTGATGTAATATGTGCGAAAGTTTAGTTGCATTATTTTAAATGTCCTACTTTTCCTAAAGCCTTCCCTCTGCATGATAGGTTAAGTGATATTCTTGATGAAGGAAGGGAAAAGTGTGGGCTGGAATGCTCTAACATCCTTTCATCTTCAATAGTGAGACTGTATGCTGAAGGGAGCCCAGAAACTTTTGTTTTTACTAAAATGATACTTTTAAAAGCTTTGGCTTCTGACGTGTCCTTTGAACACTTCTATTTCAAAGTAGAAAATAGGAAAGATTCAAAGCATGCACTCTGCTATATGATTCATTTTGGGATAAGAAAAAGACTGCAGCGCCTTGGAGAATAAATCATTAACTAAAAGTCAAACCGAGACACCCTGGAAACCAGTGAGACCAGGAGGCAGCAGAGGGATCAGGTGGCTGAGATTTGCCTGTTCCCTGACTTCTAGTACGAAGCATCCCACGGGCAGGACGAACTCAGCACACTGCGCTTCCTTCTATTTTACTTTTCAAACTTGAAGTTATTTTTAGATGACCCAAGACCGCTAATCCCAGGCAGGACAATTCCCGCGGCGCCTCAATGCACCTTCCCCCTCCCCAGCACTTTCCTTTAAGCACTGGGAAAGGAGTCTCTCCGTTTTTTCCTCTGCTCTCTGCGTACAGTCCACCTCCCCTAACCACCACTTTAAATCTCAGTCCCGGGACCACAGGCGTCTTTCTTTATCCCTCACTTATGCACCTGCTGCTGCTACTGAGAAGGCGAACCTTGGGGCCACTAGGACTAGGGAAGGGGCTCCTAGAGACCCGCGCCCTCTAGAAGGGAGTCAAGGCATACCCTAGAGCAGCCTCGGGGGCTGACGTCTGGATCAGGAGACCGCTCCCAACCCCTGCCGCCGCCCCTAACCCACTCTCTAACCCGGCTGCGCTTGCCCGCCCCCTGCCACGGTCCCGGGGCACGGCCAGGGCGCGCCACACGCAGCCCTGGCAGGACCGGGTGCTGGGGCGAGCGTGCTGGCGCGGTTACA